GCCCCACTAGATAGATCGCCAAATTATCGATAGATTCTTCAAAATTAAACAAATCAACAATTTCTGATCTGCAACTAAGGTTTTGTCTCAATCTCTAGGGTGGATCCACAACATTGAGTTTGTAGAGATAAAGTCCATGTTGCGCTCTAGTCTAGGCCTTCGTAAAGAAATCCGCCAACTGCAATTCGTAAAGCACATACTGAATAGCAATAACATGATCATGCACACCAGCGCGCACAAAAGAAGCATCAACACCTACTCCCTTCGTCCGGTGAAGAGTGTACGTTTGGATTTAAAATTTGTCCACAAAAGAGTGTACTTCTATCTTCCCAATGCACTTTAAAGTATTTTCTCTCATCCCACGGTAATCAAGACCAATAGCATTCTATACATAGTCTTCTTAATTTCTACATGCACTTAGCTCATTGGAGGTTGGGTAATTAAAGAGGAGAGAGATGGTGGCTTGCAGCTTCCCAATGCATTTTTTACTCCACTCCTTTGTCCTAAAATTTCTAGATGTACACTTCTCATCGGATGGAGGGAGTATATGCTTAGTTTGAAGTAACCACCGTAACCAAGTCACCTCTGAAGCACATGTACTGTCGGACAAGAGTGTAGTAGGTGTAGTAACAAACACACCAAACTCCTGAAGTAACCACCGTAACTAAGTTACCTCTGCCGCCACAAGAGCCATAGCTCCAACTCAGCCTCTGCACTCGAACGGGACACTTCAGTCCGTTTCTTCATCTTCCCGACAACATAGGAACCACCAAGAAGAACACAGTAAGCAAAAAGTGAACGGCGATCCAAAGGATCACTAGCCCACAAGGCATCCAAATAGGCCTGAAGTTGTAATGAACTGGAGCGGGGGAAGAGAAGACAGTGAGAGATCGCGCCACGAAGATATCATAGAACACGAAGAATGTGACTATAATGGACCGAAGTAGGAGTGAAAACAAACTGACTCAAGATATGGACATGATAGGATATATCCAGATGAGTGACAGCTAGATAGATAAGGCTCCCAGCAAGATGATGATAACGCATAGGATCAAACAAGGGATCACCATCAAAAGCACAGAGGTGAACGTTGAGCTCCATGGGAGTCTCAACAGTGCGCTCATCAGTAAGAGTAGCACAAGCAAGAAGATCATGGATATACTTCTCATGGGAAGTAAAGAAGCCATCAGAGGTAGAGGAAACCTCAATCCCAAGAAAGTAACGAAGAGGGCGAAGACCACACATAAGAATCTGCTCACTAAGACGTGCCTTAACAAAGGCAATGTACTCAGGGTCGTCACCGGTGATGATCATGTCATCAACATATAGAAGCGGAAGAGTCCAACCACGAGGAGAAAGGTGGACAAACAACGCAGGATCATGAGTGCTCGCCAAAAAACCAGCAACAGTCACCACAGAGGTGAAATGCTCAAACCATGTACGAGGGGCTTGCTTAAGGCCATAGAGAGAGTGACAAAGATGGCATACCATGCCATCAGGAATAGAATACCCGAGTGGCGGTTGCATGTAAACCTCCTCATGCAACTCACCATTAAGAAAAGCATTCTTAACATCAAGATGAGAGACAGACCAATGGCGGAAAGAGGCCACAACAAGAAGTGTGCGAGCAGTGGTCATATGGGTCATAGAAGCAAAAGTCTCATTGTAATCGCGACCATGCTCCTACTGAGTCACGAGCCACAAGACGAACTTTGTAGCGCTCAAGAGAACCATCAGAGCGAGTCTTGACCTTGTAGACCCACTTACAAGTGATGGGACAAACACGGGGAGGAAGAGAAACAAGATTCCACATGCTCGTGCTCTCAAGGGAAGCAATCTCCTCCGCCATGGCAAGCTCACTTCAGGATGAACAACAGCATCATGATAAGAAGTCAGCTCAAGAAAAGCAGTGCCAACGCTAGAAAAATCATAGCAGTCAATAGGCGAAAGCGCGCGAGCACATAAGCAATAAGTAGGTTGAGACGAGGAAGATGGCACATCAGTAGACGCATCCACAACACATGGACAATGAGTATAATACTGACGAGAAGATGAAAGAATACGAGGAATCACCGGGACAGGCTCTGGTGATGGAGATGGGGAAGCCACTGGGGATTAAGGTGCAAAACCCTATGACAAGTGAGGTGAGGAAACCATAGGAGATGACGGCATCGGATCTGCAACAGTCGGAGGAGCAAGAGCGGTTGGACGGATGGAGAAAGGCGCAACATGAGTAATAGGAGTGTCGAGAAAAGTGAGGAAAGAGATATCTTCCACTAAAAAGATCGAGGAAGATGAATGCGGGTAGAAGGGATGGGAATCATCAAGTCACATCCCAAGAAATACGCATCCAACAGACAATCCCAACAATGATAGCCCTTATGCTCCAGGGGCTGGCGCCCTGGCGCCAAGGAGAGCATCAGTGTGACGATCTTGAACAAAACAGGAGCCAAAGTCGAGAACGACCCTACAAACAGAGTCAATAATCTAACCACCAAAAATGAGTTGCATGGTAAGTCGAGGAACATGAGCAACATCACGAACATGAAAAGACAAAGTGCTAAGAATGCCTCCGCCATTTAATCGAAAGGGAGGTACCATCAGCAGTAAGAACATGAACAGGAGAATCGAGAGGTCGAATAGAGGACATAGTAGATGGTTCATGAGTCATATGAAAAGATGCTCCATTATCAAGAATCCATGGAGATTTACCTGCCTATGTAGAAAGTGGTCTCACAATGCCAGAAGAGTCAGTAGCAGAACCAACAGAACATGTCGATGGGGAACCGGAAGATGCAGATAGCAGGCATCGAAGTCGCGTAATCTCCTACTCAGTCAGGGGCTCAACTACTCAACTGAAGAGGTCGAAGTAGATGCACCCGGCAATGGAGAGCCAGAGGCAATCAACAGGCCGCAAAGTCGCACAATCTCATGCTCAGTGAAGGACACGGCTGAAATAGTCAACATAGCAGCACCAACAGAGGAGCAGCCACCACCACCCGTGGAAGCCGCTAGATGAGGTTGTGTAGCATGACCAATATCGTCTGCAGAAGCCGGTTGAGAAGACGATGTCGCATCCAAACAAGCACCAGGCGCCAAGGGAAGGCGGGTGCGAGGTGTAGTCGATGGAGCGATATACAACAACATTGTCGGTGAAAATTGAGAGAGGAGTCAGTGTAGAACGGCAATCACCATGTGCGATCGTGCGAGGAGTGGCAATCACCACAACCTACGGAGGGCGGCAGAGGGGATGATGTCACATGTGGATGAGCATCAAGCACCGATGAAAGGCGCGTGTGCGAGATGGGATCAAGAACACCATCAAGAGTTCGCGGGCAGCGAGGTAGATGCATACCCGACAAAAACATTGTGCCTGTTTTTAATACTATTTTTACTCCCGTTCCTCTGGATCGAAGAACAGTGATGCATCGGGAGATGCAGTCAGCCACAGGAAGGAAATCAAAGGCCCAATGGGCGGTAGGCAGCGGGAGGGCCTTTCGGCGGCCACGGTGGAAGACGGAGCCAGAGGGCAGGCGGACGTGAAGATCGCAACAGGGAGCAGCAGCCATAATCGATCCACCTGCCTGCTTAGTACAATTAGTATACATGAGCAGCATCAAGAATCGATCAACCAGCTTGCCTGCTTAGTACAAGTACTATACGTGCATGTCTCTGTGAGTGACAGGCCGGAAGGAAAAGACCTGAGGTTGACCTTGACATTGAGCGGGCGGGCCCAACCCATCCACAAGTGGGCGTCGCTATGCGCGGGAATCGGCGTTGACCCAGAAGAACAATCAGCCACGAC